GTTATGCAAGAATAAGTAATGCAGGGATTACTTATGCATGCATTAGTTATGCAAGGATTAGTCCTTGAGTAGTGCACGTGAAATTCAAAAAAAAGGTCATGCTAATTGTAGTGTATATAATTCTTTCTTGGATTTTGGTTGAATTTCTTGCTATATTGTTACACACTTTATTTAGTAATTCAAAAATATCATAGTACAAGATTGTTATTTGCGGTAGAAAACGAACAATGAAAAGTTTGCTGGAGAAAATGGCAATGATTTGTAAATTGATAGGGGTGAATTTGTCATTTCAGTATTTTATCCATGTATTACTAATACATGTATTAGTTATTCCATCTTCTCCCCCGCATAAAATAACACACAGATTGACTCATAACTTATACATGTATTATTTATGTAGAATTGTAAAAAGCCAACCAAACATGGTATTAGTTATGCTGAATTTTTTACAAAATAACTAATGGCTACCAAACATGGTATAAGTTATGTTACCCCTAATACATGAATAACTTTTCCCCTAACCGGCTACCAAACGACCCCTAAATGCCTAAGTTTCAAGTCGAGATTACTTTGTGATTAATATGCCAAACTAGATGAATTCCTCTCTATACTTATAACTTGAGTTGCTTTTGTACGTGCCTATGATCTTAAATGGCGAGGTTAATATTTAAAATGGGAATAATGTGAAACGTAAGTTATGGAATGTGGCCTAGTGCCAAGTATGATGTGGTAAGTGTGGCCCCAAGTGCCGATGAACTAATACATGTGAAATCAAAAATTGAAGTGAGATGATTAACGGAAAAGGGTAACGTCTTGGTGAGACGGCTTAGCCAATCGGGCCGTGATCGGACGCCATGCTACACATACATGGTGGTATTGTATTGATAATTAAAACTGGAAAGTGAGAATGAAATAAGGGTAACGTCTTGGTAAGACGGCTTAGCCGATCGGGCCGTGATCGGACTCCGCTCAAGAAAGCGGTGGTATTGTGAATGATGATGCAACAATATGGAATGCCCCAACCTAAAATTGCGGAAACTATGTGAACCTTTTATATTGCTAACGTGGTGATTGTTTGAAGCTTTGTAGTCCTTATGATTTCTTTTTACTCTTGTATGGTTGTTCTTTCTAACAGGATGGTGTTTAGTTATACATACTAGTACTATTCCATGGTACTAACGTCCCTTTTGCCGGGGGAGCTACATTTTTGAATGAATGTAGGTGGCTCCATAGCGGACAGTGCCGATCGCGCGTAGTGGAGTATCCTCCTCTCAAAGTCTTGGTGAGCCCCTTTCCCCTTCAAGGGGTTATGTTGTGCATCTTTTGTTGTAGACTTCCACTTTTGAGGCATAGCCGGGGCCTTGTTGCCGGCGTTGTCATAATTGTCTTTGGTATCCTTAGAGGCTCCGTAGACGTTTGTGTGGGTTATGTTCGGATGTCGGTGGGTCAATGTACTGTATAGTAGTTCTAAATTCTAGTTCTTCTAAACTGTAACTGTATGAAATCCTAAAAACTTAACTATGGCTTAAGGTTTGTGATATGAAAATGAATTAACAATGTTGAATGTACGATTTTGCTATTGTCTAAATAAATAAAAGCATGGTTTTCTTAATCGTATTGAGCTGGATAGAAAGTGTTAAAAAGGCTTGCTCAGTTGGGTTCACTCGATTGAGCGTCGGTCGCGCCTCCCGAGGTTGGGGCGTGACAAAGTTAAAAGTATAATATTAAATAATTTTATTGCTGCAGTAGTCTTGTATATTTAAAAAATATGAGCTATCCATATTGTTGTTCAGGAACCCGTACCTCTTCTTTTTTAAATCTTTTTATTTTTCCTCCATCTATCTTTTTATAATCTAAGTGTAAGACTTATACAAAGTGAAATTTAGTAAGAAAACAAATTGATAAGTAAAACTTTAAATAATTTTAAGCTCCAAAATATTAAAAAATAATTAATACTATTAAATGAAGTGTTTCTTACAATATTTAACATAAAATTTGAGGGACTTCAGAATATAATCTTTTTATGATAAAGATCAAGTTTGTAATGGAAAGAAAAAGGTTAGTTTTAAATTCTTATCTTTCATTCTAGGTAAATATTATTTCATTAATGATATTCTATTGGATGGTAATACTCACGTTTTTTTACTTAATTAATATGTTGTAATGACTAAAGGCTTTTTTGGAGTTGTTATTATCAAAATTTTAGGTGATCTATGTCTTAAATATTTAAGAAAGTAACTTAAATTACAATTGTGTCCAATGTAAAATTTATTTTTAGAGGGTAAAAAAGGCGAACCATATTTCGTTAAAAGCCTTCGTGCTTTTAATATATATATATATATATAAAATGCCGAGGCGTACGGACCGATCCAACATAAAAGTAAACTGTGCACTGCCGAGGGTCGAACGACGCGAACCAAGATGCATCTATTAACCTGCCGAGGCGATCGGCCTGCTCCCATGAGAGTAGTAGAAGTAAATACACTACTAGTGAATCATACGTGCGACGCGGTCAAATATAGATTTAAGGAATTTTCTCGTTCACGAATCATACATGCGACGCGGTTAAATATAAATTTATTAATAAATCAAAAATCCTTTTCTTGATCCTTTTCAAAAATAGAGATAATTCGACGTGAAGCTTTTGGGGTAATTTTCCCCGCTCACGAAACATACATGCGACGCAGTTTCAATAGATTCCTTAAGTTATTATAAGGTTCCTCAATTCTTTTCGACAATACTAGGTTTAATGGAAATGCTAAAAATCTTAAATTTCTCGATTTTAATTCCTTTCAACACAATTATTACGCAACCTCAATCTTATTTCTTATCAAAGCAAGCAATAAGCATAACTCAACAATAATATAAACAAGGCATGATGTAGCCTAAAAACTACCCGGACATAGGCATAATAGTAGCTACGCACGGACTCTCGTCACCTCGTGCGTACGTAGTCCCCACAAATAGGAGCACATATTTAATTACTTCACATATGGGGTTAGTTACCTCTTACAAGGTTAGAGGGAGACTCACCTCACTCCGAAGTTCCATAACCGGCATTCCACGCCCTTCCGAAGACTCAAATCGATGCACAACGCTCCAAAACTAGCCAATAATTATGTAAACCCATTAATATATGTTTAATTACTCACTATAATCCGATTTATAACAATTCCTAACCCCGATCAAAAAGTTGACAAAATTTCCCTCGGGCCCACGTGCTCGGATTCCGAAATTTTTCGAAGATAAAGTGTACCCATGACCTCACGAACTCAAATATATAATTTGTTCTCAATTCCATGCCCAAAATCGTGGTCAAAATCCAAAAATATCAATTTCTAGGTTTTTCTTCAAAATCCCTAAATTTCTACAATTTTTTACATGTTTAAATCCATATATAATCCTTGCATTTAACCCATAACTACAAGAAATTACTTGCCTCTTGATGATGATGGAACCCCTTCTCAAATGCTCTCAAAAATTGCCTAAGACCGAGTGGGAAATGAGAGAAATAAGCTTAGTATCGGAATAAAAGCTCTTGGCTCCAGTCGCAGATGTCGCATTTGCGACATCCATCTCGCAAATGCGATGGTCACATTTGCGACAAATGCATCACAAATGTGAAGCCAAGCCATCCCTGCCCAGGTTGCATTTGCGACCAAATTCTTCGCAAATGCGAAGGTGACAGCCTCGCAAAAGCGACACTATGTCGTTTTGAGTTCACGGTTGTAAAAGTGTAAAAAGATGAGAAAATCTATATTTATACTATTGACCCGTCGGACCCACAGTTTAACCTGAATGCGGCCGCATAATTCTGATGCGGACTGCACTCCTTACCTACCCTTGAGACGACTGGCTGCGGACCGCACAAAAATGACTGCCGCTGCAGTCCGCACTGATGCTGAGACTATGCACTTTGACACTTAGCCAAATTTTTCATCCACAGTCCCTGCAATGCACTCCTATTCCTGCATACACTTCAAATCTGGTTAGCACAAAACCAAGCCTATCTAAAAGAAGGAAAATAAAAGAAAGAAAAAGACATGGGTTTCCTCCCAAGAAGCGCCTGATTTAACGTCGCGGCACGACGCAAATTACCAATCACGAGAAATGGAGAACCGCCACAATATGGCCATCATCAACCTTGCCCAGATAATGCTTAACCCGTTTCCCATTAACTCTAAACACCTCATTGTTCTTATTTTTTAAATCTAGAGCACCAAAAGTGGTTACATTCACTACATCAAAGAGCCCACTCCATTTTGATTTCAGCTTGCCCGGGAACATTCTTAACATGGAATTTAACAAAAGCACCAGATCACGCTCCTTAAATTCCTTGTCGTGGGTGTACTTGTCATGCAAGTACTTCATTTTCTCCTTGTAAAGGGACGAACTGTTGTAGGCATGATACCGCAATTCATCAAGCTCATTCAAATGTGCCACTCTTAGGTTAACAGCAACATCCCACTCAAGCCTCAACTTCTTCAAAGCCCACATGGCCTTATGCTCAAGTTCCACCGGAAGATGGCACGCCTTCCCAAACACCAATCGATATGGAGACATCACAACGCTTGACAAGCTCACTAGCGTCCTTGTAGAGGGTAGGCCAATAGAATCTACAAGTCAAAACTTTTGTAGCCATTCTCGCTCCACCATGATGACCACCATATGGTGAAGAGTGGCAAGCCTCAAGAATTCCTATTTGTTCTTCTTCTGGCACACATTGCCGGATCACACCATCGGTACATATTCGGAAAAGATACGGCTCATCCCAATAGTAATCCAAACAATCCCGTTTGAGCTTCTTCCTTTGGTTTGAAGAGAACTCATTCGGTACAATGCCGCTCACAAGATAATTGGCTAAATCAGTGAACCATGGCATCCTGGTCATTGAAAAAGATAGGAGTTGCTCATCAGGAAATGAATCATTGATCTCAAGGCCGTCATGTGGCCTCCACTCCTCCTCCAAACGGGACAAGTGGTTCGCCACTTGATTCTCACTACCCTTGCGGTCTTGAATATCTAGATCAAACTCTTGCAAAAGAAGCACCCACCGCATCAACCTTGCCTTAGAATCTTTCTTGCTCATCAAATACTGAAGTGCCACATGGTCGGTGTGAACAATCACCTTAGTACCCATCAAATACGGCCGGAACTTCTCCAAGGCAAACACAATAGCAAGTAACTCCTTTTCGGTCACTGTGTAGTTGACTTGGGCATCATTTATGGTCTTGCTAGCATAGTAGACCGGATGGAAAATCTTATGATTCTTTGCCCCAACACCGCTCCAACTGCAATATCACTAGCATCACATGTGAGCTCAAAAGGCAAGTTGCAATCCATTGCGGTGATAATAGGAGTAGTAGTCAACTTGAACTTAAGCAACTCGAATGCCTTCATACAATCTTCATTAAAATGGAACTTGGCATCCTTCTCAAAAAGTTTACACAAAGGGTTTACTACCTTGGAAAAGTCCTTGATGAATCGGCGATAAAAACCTGGAAGACCCAAGAAGATCCTCACCCCTTTCACGGATGTAGGATGAGTGATTTTGGAGATCACCTCAATTTTAGCTTGGTCAACCTCAATAGCATGTTTTGAAATTTTGTGGCCGAGGACAATGCCTTCCTCGACCATGAAGTGACACTTTTCCTAGTTCAACACCAAATTGGTCTCCTCACATCTAGCCAATACCCGATCCAAATTTTTCAAACAATCTTCAAACGAATTTCCAGCCACAGAAAAATCATCCATGAAAACCTCAAGAATGTCCCCCACCATGTTGGTAAAAATAGCCATCATACACCGTTGAAAAGTCGCTGGTGCATTACACAATCCAAAAGGCATCCTTGAAAACGAGAAAGTACCATAAGGACATGTGAAAGTGGTCTTCTCTTGGTCCTCAGAAGCAATAAGAATTTGGTTATAGCCGGAGTATCCATCAAGGAAGCAATAAAAAGCACGTCCGGCCAACCTATCAAGCATTTGGTCAAGAAATGGAAGCGGGAAATGATCTTTCTGAGTAACTTTGTTGAGCTTCCTATAGTCCATGCACACTCTCCACCCGTTAACGGTCCTGGTTGGGATCAATTCATTCCTGTCATTTGTTACCACAGTCATGCCCCCTTTCTTTGGGACACATTGCACCGGAGAGGTCCACGAGCTATGGAAAATGGGGTAGACAATCCCGGCATCTAACCACTTGACTATCTCCTTCTTCACCACCTCTTGCATTGCTTCATTCAATCTTCTTTGATGTTCAACGGAGGGTTTGGCACCCTCCTCCAAAATAATCTCGTGCATGTAAAAGGCGGGACTTATGCCCCGGATATCCACCAAAGTCCAACCGATTGCTCTTTTACTCCTTTGTAGCACCTCCAGCGTGGACTCTACCTGCATGTTAGTTAAGCACGAAGAAAGAATAACTGGTAAAGTAGACGAAGGGCCAAGGAATTCATACCTGAGGTGCGGGGGCAATGGCTTTAACTCCAAGGTAGGAGGCTCCTCGATTGAGGGCTAGTTGGAGGAGTCTTCCGATTTTCAAGATCCAAAGATAGCTTTAATGGCTCATAAGTGTACGACCGCATGCCTTGCAATGCATTTACATACTCCACATAGCCATCACTCTCCTCGTCATCATCTAGGTTGAGCAAAATGGCTTCCAACTTGTCCCGAACATTGATTGTTGCACTAGCATCATCAACTATCACGTCAGTCACCAAATCCACAAATGAACAAACTTCATTACTATTCGGTTGCCTCATTGATTTGCACACATGGAAGACCACCTTTTCGTCACACACCCGGAAAATGAGCTCACCGGCCTCTACATCAAATAGAGCCTTTCCCGTAGCAAGGAAAAGTCTATCCAAATTGATAGGCACCTCATAGTACACTTCACAATCTAGGATAACGAAGTCTGCTGGGAGGATGAACTTGTCAACTCTAACCAATACATCATCAATGATACCCAAAAGCCTCTTCATTGTCCGATCCGCCATTTGCAACCTCATGGATGTGGGTCTTGGTTGCCCAATTCCCAAAGTTTTGAACAGAGAGTAGGGCATCAAGTTGATACTTGCCCCGAGATCACATAATGCTTTGGCAAAATCGGCGCTCCCAATAGTGCAAGGGAATGTGAAAGCGCCTGGATCTTCCAACTTTGGAGCCATTGAGTGCACAATAGCACTCACTTGATGAGTCATCTTGATGGTCTCACAATTCATTGATCTTTTCTTGGTTACCAAATCCTTCATGAATTTGGAATATCCCAACATTTGTTCCAATGCCTCAACCAATGGCACATTTATGGACAAACTCTTCATCATATCAATAAACTTTTTGAATTGGTTCTCACTGTTTTGCTTTGCAAGCCTTTGAGGATATGGATGAGGAGACCTTGGAATTGGTGCCTTAGCCTTTGGCACCACCGGTTCCGGCATGTCAATCACGTGTTCCCTAGACGGGTTCACCTCTTCTTGTGTCGCCTCCACACTTGCATCTATATCAATTCTCACTTCTTCATTAGCTTGAACCACATTGCTTGGGATTTCGTCTTCTTGAACGACAGCATCTTCATCCATAATCCTTCTTTGATTTGAGGTGGTTGCATCTCCACCTTTTCCACTTCTAGTAGTCACGGAGCAGATCCTGTATCATTCCCACCCTTCGGGGTTACCACCGTATCAATAGGTAGTGCCCCCTTAGAACGAGTGTTCAAAGCATGTGAGATTTGTCCTAATTGAACCTCCAAATTCCGAATAGAAATGTTGTGCGAGTCTATTTGAGCATCGGAGTCGGCATTCTTCTCCATCATCTGTTTAAACATGTTTTCAATTCTACCCATCTCATTGGAAGAAGATCGGGCCTTGAGAAGGATAGGGAGGTGGATTGCTTGGTTGTTGGAACATCGGAGGCCTTTGAAAACCCGGCCCCGGTTGTTGTTGTTGTTCCACCCTCCTTGATTATTGCCTCCCCAATTGCCTTGATTGTTGTTGGCCCAATTGCCTTGATTACCCCAATTGCCTTGATTTCCTTGATTGTTCCAATTGCTTTGATTAGAATTACCGCCACTCCAATTGCCTTGGTGGTTTTGGTTGTTCCAATTACCTTGGTTCCCTTGTGACCTCCATTGTTATTGATTTTGCCCTTGAGCATTGTTTCTTTGACCTTGATAATTATTGACATATTGAACTTCGTTATCTTGCTCATTGAATGAATCACCTTGATCATAACCACTATCATCTTGCATAAATTGTTCCGGACGGCCTTACATTTATTGACGTTGTTGCCGTCTTTTGTTTACCATCATATTCACACCTTCCATTGCATGCACTTGTTTTGTACCTTGAACTTGTTGAAGCTGAGCCTTGGCCAATTGGTTCATGGTAGTTGTCAACTCGGCAATAGCTTGCCCATGGTCATGTAGCTCCTTGTGTAGGTGAATAACATTAGGGTCACCTTCTGGAACATTGGATCTACTTTTCCACGCCGAAGAGGTATCCACCATCTCATCAAGAATTTCACAAGCTTTGGCATATGGCATGTTCATGAAGTTCCCCCCAGCGAGTTGGTTAACCACACATTGATTAGTTGTGTTGATCCCCCTGTAGAAGGTCTGTTGGATCATGGCCTCAGCCATATCATTGTTCCGGCACTCTTTAACCATGGTACGATATCCTTCCCAAATCTCGTGCAATGGCTCATTGGGTTCTTGCTTGAAAGCAAGAATCTCATCCCGAAGCGTATTATATGTCCCGTAGAGAAGAATTTGAAAATGAACTTTTCTGCAAACTCATCCCAAGTAGTGATGGAATGGTTGGGCAACCTCTCTAACCAGTCCAATGCTTTTCCCGTAGAGAAAAGGGAAATAGCCTCAACCTCAGCACGTCCTCAGAAACATTTGTTTGCTTGCACCCCATCAAGTATCGACAAACCCCTTGAGATGCTTGTAGGTATTTTGATTCAAAGCCCCAGTGAAGAAACCCCATTGTTCTAGTAGTGTAACCATCACGTTGGTGATTTAGAAGTTGCCCGCCCTAATGTGGGGCGGGACTATAGCACTTGCATAACCCTCGTTTGGCAATTATCGGTGGGATGCCACTCTTGGTGGAGGTCGGGGAGGGACAGGCGTATTGTCATGAGGCGGGCGGCCTCGTCTATTAGTTTGAGGTTCAATAGGAACCCCATCCATTGCATCATCCTCCACGTCCTCCCCCAATGGCACATTTCCAATGGTATTGTTGTTGAGAGCCATTTTCGTACCTAAAATCAATTCAAACACATAATTAGTGACTCGGAAGGAAAGAAAGACAAAACACACAAAAACCTAGATATATAGCTAAATGCGTTTAACTCCCCAACAATGGCGCCAAAAATTTATCTCGCCCAAACTCACACCACAATTAGGTAGTGAGGCGGTCGAAGCAATAATAAACCCAACACGAGTCGGGATCGAATCCACAGGGAGTTAGAATTTGGATTAGGTATATAACTAGGGTAAATGTATGATGTGCCTTAGATTGGACTTCCACATAGTCATTGGTTGTTTTCTATTTCTACTTTTAGCTAATAATTGCCAATAATAACTAGAAGACAGTGTTTTTGGTTTTGAGTGTTTTTCAAATGATAAAGGAATCTAGGGTCGTGACTTTCACCTAGGTGGCCAACTAACGGGTTGGAAACTATAGGGCAAGTTTGATTTATCGGGTTCGTGGTATAGCAATCACACGCAATTGCTCACTCTATACCTCTAGGTAGTTTGAGTGATTTTGCCCGATTTGGCTTTCTCAAGCCCAAATTGGTATTTGCACAAATCAAGTGATGTATGCTCAAGTCGGGTCTTACTATCTCTAGATTTGACCCTTTAATTGGGGCTATCAATTTCTTGAGTTCACCCCAATTCCTTGTTAGCCAAGTTTTCCTAAACCTAGTCTCTCTTTCTCAAGCAAAGACTAGGTCAAATAGGCATGAATCAATGTTTGCAACCATTAATTCTAGGATTTAAGCATAAACGAGGCAAAATAACACTAACCCTATCACAAACAAGCCCTAAAATTAAATACTCATTAAGTACCCAAACTAGGGTTGAACCACAACCCTAGCTAAAGTTTAGCTACTCATGAAAAATAAAGAATTACAGGAAGAATTTAAGATAGAATGCATAATCATTGATTAAATAAAGAATATCTAATGTTAAGAAGTCAATCTAGTACAAATTTACTCAAAGAAGTAAAGAAAACCGTTTAGGTGCACCTCTGCAAACTAAACTTCCTCTAAAAATGATAAAAAGTTATATTTATACTAAGCTGAAAATATCTGACAAAAATGCCCCTATGGAGGTTGTGCGGCCATAGAATTCTGGTGCGGTCCACACATTGGGCTTCTGCGGCCGCACAAAAGTTCTACGGTCCGTAGTCTTGGGAACTTGTGTTTGGAACTTGAGGTCTTCTACGGTCCGCATAAAAATGGGTGCGGCCGCACTTAGGATTATACGGCCGCACAAAAGTGATGCGGTCCGCACTCCTAAACTTTCCAGCTCTTTGAATCTCAACCCTACGGTCCGCATAATAATGAATGCGGCCACACTTGACCTCCTGTGGCCGCACATATTTGGTGCGGTCCGAACTGTCTGAGCTGGCTAAAACCTTATCTCTGAATCTCACTCTGCGGCCGCACTAAAATTATGCGGTCCGCACTGCTAGCCTCTTTGCCTAGTTTTGGCTCTTGTTCACTTTTGACTTCTTTATGGGTTGATTATGACTTCTTTGGCTCGTTTCCAAATATTCCTGCAAGTAAGCACATTTTGTTAGTTTTCGAGAATACCTTTAAGCATATTTTAGCTAAAACGCAAGTAAAAGAGAGCAATAAGCGGTCAAAATCCCTACTTATCAAGCCCCCCTCGGAATATTCGTGGACAGTACAAACGGAGTAAGCGGTCCACAGTAAACCGACATGAGTCGATTTTGTTCACAAAAAACTGGAGGAGTATCACAATCCTCCACAATGAAGGACGAATCTGACCGATGCAGACCTCGTATCTCTTACAATAATCTATAGTGACCGGGTCCACTAGCCCCATTGTAAAGGGATAAGTGTAAAAACTCAGATATCCCTCGACATGGGTAGTAATGGCCTCCTCGGAGTCGGGGACCACTATTTCTTTATCGGCCCGGTTACAGTCTTTTCGGAACATGGGGAGGACCTCTTCGGTAATTGAGCAGATGTATATCGAGACCTCCTCACACCGACCCTGTACGGAGGGAGGTTTCTCAACCTTTAAGTCATCGGCCACCAAGAGACCCTCGGGAATGAACATTTTCAAGGGGTGTTCGGGTACTGGCTCATCAACGGCCACGCCCGGACCGGTCTCCTCAACCTTAGTGGCCGGCCGCGAAGAAGGAGGAGCATCCTTTTGAGGAATTTGGAGGTTTTTGCTATTGTTATGAAGAAAAAGCTTAAGAAAGAGGGAGAAAGATTAAGAGGTGAAGGGTCAGACTTGTTGGCTTGAGTAGGAGATGAGTTAAAAATTTTCTGCAAAGTGCTAAAGAACCTTGAATAATGGAGGTAAAAACGCTAGAAGAGTTGTGAAATCTTGGAGGTACGAAGGTAGAGGATTTGGTGTAAAGTATAAAATGAACGAAGGAGGGGGTATTTATAAGAGTTTAGTGATATTTCTCATCTACGGACAACCGACCAGTAGCTAACATGCATTTAATGCCATTATGACATGACTGGCGAGATGTTTCGGATGTTTTGTCATTTCTGTCATGACATATCGAAGTAGGAATCGGGAGCTCATGTCGTTTCTCGTCATTTACTATTTGAGAAATGAGGGAACTATTTGTATACGGGTAAAACCAGGCCCATAGTATACCCCGATCTCCGATATGATAAACCGAGCTCGAGATATGACAATAAGGGGCCAAAATCGAGGCAAAGGTCCCATCGAGTCAAAATCTAAGGGCATGATGCCCACCCTCGAGAATATTGGGGTCATGGT